GGGCTGTGTGTGAATTGTGGAGTGGTTTGGGTGGGAAGGGACCTTTAAAGCTCATCGAGTCAAACATTCCCTGCACTGAGCAGGGACAGCTTCAACTAGAGCAGGTTCCTCAAAGCCCCATACAACCTGACCTGGGATGGTTCAGGGATGGGGCATCAAGCACCTTCTTGAGCAACCTGGGCCAGGGTCTCACCACCCTCAGTGTCCAAAAGGTCTTCCTCATATCTAGTCTAAATCTCCTCTCTTTTAGTTTAAAACCATCACCTCTTGTCCTGTTACAATAAGTCCTGCCAAAAAGACTGTACTCATTTCTTAGAGGCATCCTTTAAGTACTGAAAGGCCACGATAGGGTCTCCCCAGGGCCTTCTCCTCTCAGGCTGCCCCAGCCCAACTCTCTCCTGCTGGGCTCCCAGCAGAGGGGTTCCCCCCTTGGGGCATTGCTGGGGCTCCTCTGGCCCCACTCCAGCAGGTCCCTGGCTCTGCTGTGCTGAGGACTCCAGAGCTGCCCCAGCCCTGCAGGGGGGTCTCCCCAGGATCCCCTCCCTGCCCTGCTGCCCACGCTGCTGGGTTTGCACGGGCCCACTTCTCAAGCCTGTCCAGGTCCCTCTGGATGGCATCCTGGTAGATTAAGAGAAGAGATGACAATGACAAAGCCCCAGGTCTTTGGGGAGTGACCCCTCCACAGCTGATGTCTTCTGCTGAGGGCAGAGGCTGGTGGTGCTGCCTCCTGATCTCTCCAGCACATGGACAGGCAAATGTCTTTCTCTTGGCCCTGGCTCCAGTCTGCCTTTTGGGACAGCTTCTCGTGAACTATGACTAACAGGAGTAGTGTGGGGGCAAGAGCTGTCATCCCACTCTGGAGAAATGTGGAAAGGCACTGGGGAAGAGAGTGCCAGCCCCCAAAAAGCCAGGAATGTTGGTTTTGGAGCAGCACATGGAGGCTGAGCTGTCAATGAGGCGTAGCTGGGATGTTTGCTTTGGGAAGAGCTGCTCGAACATGAGTAACGTGGCACTGTTTTGCAACAGAGGAGAAATAAGAGGGGAAAAGGTAAATGAGAGAAGTTTGTTCCAGAAACTTTCTCCCTTCTGGGCAAAGACAGTCCTTTCCAAAGCTTGGCTTTCGTTCTCCTAAGGCAGCAGACCTTGGCAAAGAGGCTGAAGGTCTTTGTACCACAGCCTGAATCTTTGAAGTTGGGAATAAACCCGTCTGCTTTAACACAGTTGCTGTTGAGGTGGTGAATTTGCCCTTGCCCTGTGACCCACAGGAGCTGTGTGGGGGTTCACCCAACTTCAGGCAAGACTGCTGGCCAATTTGTTCCAAAAAAGCTTGTTTTTTCTGCAGTTTTTGATGAACCAAGAAGCCATTTAAAAGCCAGCAGCTTGGAAGATCATGAAAAGCCCAGTTAAAAGCAGATTGGCTCTCTGAATCTTCTTGCCTCAGTGAAGAATTAGAGGCGGTGGCAAGAGGCTTGGTGTTAAATTAGCATCCATCTGTATTAAATAACAGCTCCAGACTTTAAATAGAAAGGCAGCGGGTGAGAGGGGGGAAATGGTGCTGGGTAAAGCATTATTCAGACACATGCCCTTGCCTCAGTCTCGGTCCATAAATACCCACTGGGGCAGGAACATGGCTCACTGTTGAAAGAAAAGAGCCAAGGGCCTGCAGCAGCCCCTCGTCCTCCCCCTGGGGCACCTCCTCGGAAAGCCCAGGCTGGCTGAGGAGCTGGGCAGGAGACCCTGGTGTCTGGTGAAGCCCCTTTGCTTCCCCCACCACTCACAGCCAGCCCCGCTGTGGGCTTGGGGAAGCTGCTGTCTGCAGAGGCCCAGCACAGGGGCAGATAGACTGATGGGGAGCAGGGCTGTGTCCCAGAAGGGAGCTCCAGGGTGAGCTCGCCTGCTGGAAGGTGACTTTGGCCACCAACCCTAACGTACTTTGCTCCTGCTGGGAGAGGCTTTCAGTGAGGAGGAGAGAGCCAGGACCTGGCTTTGCAGATTCCCTGGGGTGACATTCAGCTTAAAAGTTCAGTTCTCATTATTCTACCCTGCGCTGCTGGTGCTTTGCTGCCACCAGATCTCCATCTCCTGGATCCCCACCACCCACCTTTCCAGAAAGATGATTTTCCTTGGTGGTCTCTGCTCCCAGCCTGAACCCCAGTGTGATTTGGAGGTGTGAGGAGGCACAGCAGCTGTTGTGCTCCATTGGAAGCAGCTGCAGAGCGTGGAGCTTGCCAGGCTAAGCCACCAGAAACTCCCTGTCCTGGAGACTTCAGTCTCAAGCAGGTGTTTGGAAGGAATCTGATGACCTCTTAGCACCTTGTGGGAAGATTAACCTTGTACCCCCACCACTTCCAGCAGCTGCTTGGATACTTTAAGGAAATCAGGAGGGAGGCTTGGCAGTGTCCAAGCCTTTCCTCACCCAGCCCAGAGCTGAGCCCAGCTGGGAGCAGCAGCGATTCCTTCTCCAGGAACACATGCATGAGAATTAGTCCTCCCAAATTTCACTCCTGAGGCTACCCAGTGAGCCTAAGGCTGTGCAAGCCCGGTGGTGGAGCTGAGAGGAGATCTGGGGAGCTGCTGGAGGCAGGGACCTTTGCAGAGGAGCTCCTGAGCAGGAAAAGAACAACCTGAGCCCTTGCTGCTCCCCTGTGGTTTGTGGTGAGGGCAGAGATCATTGCATTTCCTGAGCAGGATGGTAGGTGCTGCTTGGCCAAGGGGTGGACAAGGTGTCAGTGCCTGCTCCTCAGCCAGTATTACCTGTTGAAGCTCTTGAAGTCCCACGGAAAGGGTCTCGTGGGCAGCTGGTTCATGCCACACACAGCACTGTCCTTGTCCCCGAGGAGTCCCTGCCACGGGGATCGGTAGCCTTTGGGGATGGCAGTGGCATTGAACTTCTCTGGGGGCACTTCTTTGAGGGGTCCTGAGTACCCTGTGTGTGGGGAGAGACGGGGTGGGCTGCTGAGGCTGGAGCTGGGCTGGGGCAACGCACCGAGCAGGGGAGAGAAACGGGGCTGTGGCCGTGGGGGACCTGCTGCTGGGAGCAGGGTTACGTGTGCATAACATAAAGGTATGTCATGTATTTATACATCAACTCCGGGGGAGGGTTCTGGGGTGGAGCAGGCAGCAGCTCGCTGCCTCCAGCACCACAACGGTGTCAGCTTTGGGGTGTAGGCAGCATTTACCTGGGGCCAGAGAGTCGGGGTTGAGGATTTTGCTCATCTGCAAGACTTTCTCCGTCTTCTTGGGCACTGCAGGGGGCCCTCCCT